TGTCTGCAACCCCTCAGAGCTTCTACCCCCTTAAATATTTGACAAGTAGGAGGGAAGGATCAAACTGAGTGGGGAGACCATCTAGGGGCCCGCGATAGCCGTAAGGTCCCGGACCTTAAGCTCTAGCTTGTCACCTAAAGCGGCAGCAGTAGCTTCCCCTTGATCAAGGGCAGCCCCGACATCTTTTGAACCGCCTAGGGCTATAGTAGATAGGGCAGCTCTTAGACCTTCATCACGTTCTACCACCTCCTGGGCCATCTCCTGAGTAACTTTAATTGGGTTCATGGGTGTAGGATCAGGAGTGGTGGCGGCTTGGAAAGGGACCATTTAAAGATCGGAGTGTTAGGTCTCTTTCTCCCTTTAGTAAATTAGACTCACTTTGCCATCGTTGGAGTCTGCTGATAAGATCATCGTCCATTGGCGCTTATGTGTGCGCCTTCTTTTTTAAGGTATGGGGTCGATCTAGAGAGGGTAGAGGCAGGTTGATCAAGTAGTGATGGCGTCGTCTTCTTTCTCCTCTTAGCCTCAGGAGAGAGAGATGGAGCTCGCTTCCTCTTGTCTAGAATATCTCCTTGGTCGGGATGACTGGAGGAGCTCTTCTTGGCCCTGGACTTTTTAGAGATTGAGGGAATAGAAATTTAGGAGGAAGCGTCATCTTACTCCATCCCCTGGACCACGATCCTCACGGAAGGGGCTGTCGGGGTCTCGGAAGCGGTAGGGGCATCAATGTTGCCTTTCAAAAGGGTTACTAGCACATGGGATTGTATCTAATTATAGCCTACACTAAACAAGGCGGGTTTAGTCTAAGGAAACTAAATGAGAAGGATAAAACTAAAATAGATGTAAAAGAAATACTTACTGGTATGGCTCTTTATTATGCGCCTAAAGTGCTAGGGCCACCATTTATTGAAGTAGAGGCAAGCATCTTTATCTACAAGTTCCACCTTGCATTGTCTCTGGGTGGTAAGTAGAATGACTATTTAATTGATAGCCTCTCTGTCAAGCAGCTCTACACTGATTTAGGGGGATAGGCCTCGAGGGATACACCGGCTCAGTCCAAACTGACATGCCACCAGTTAAGGATGATAAGACTCTAAGTATATTCTAGTGTATGGCAGTCACATCTTCTGGTGCTTGAAAGGAAGACCTTGTCCCTTAGAGGGTTGGCAGGCTTGTTCTTCTTCTCCACCATATACTTGTACCAAGTAGGAAGGTGGCGGTTGGAGATGTTGAAAGCTTTTAAGGTCCTCCCCAAGGACCAGCTTTATTGACAGAAGAACTCAAAGAAGTTCTTCAACTCCACCAGCAAACGACCACTTAAGAGATAAGTGAAGGGGTGGTTGGTATGGGAATCATCCGGGAAAGGTTCTTGCCGAAGGTTGGGCAAGTAGGCCGTCGTCCACAACTTTAAAAACCAAATGAGCCCACTGAAGTTGTTGAAGGGCTTCTTACTAAGCAACTCCCTCATGCTGTCATAGAGATGACATAGAAACATAGTCCCTAGGGCTCTTTGATTACCACAAAGTAGGGACTGGGCTATCCTTAGATGCAGCTGCACGAGCTTTCCTCCCCCGAGGCCAGGATCTATTAGCTTAGTAGGATCTAGATGAAGATTAGGTGCTCTATGATAATGACGGGCTCAAAGGCTGGCTTCTTGGAGAATAGCTCCATAATCTTTGTATAGGAACCTATGGCCCTGATCTTGCTCTTTAAGTCAATAGGAAGGGCGGTGTAGGAGTCATGCTTCTCAGGAATTGCATAAAAGTTCTCCTTCTCGATAATAGGCAGCCTCAAAAACATGAAGACATCTCATAGCATGAGGGACATTGAGCTGAGCTCGAAGATAAAAGCATTGCAGCCCAATGCTTAGAAACTGAGGAGGGTCGTTAGAAGGTCCACGAGGATGTCAACATCAATCAGAGACAGTTGAATCAGGTCGTATAGACCCATATGCTTCCACTGAGGTGCATGATCTGACTTCAAACGCCTCACCTAATTGACCCAAGCACGAAGGGACTGGGGCCAATTCTTGAGCTTTTTATAGGATGACTCGAGGAGGGGCGAGGTCATTTGGGCTAAGACCAGATTACTAAGAGAGGTCAATGGCCATGGATTCGGTTGTGTGGGAGCGTTAACGTCGAACAGGTTGGGAGAAATCGTCAGATACCCGGTGTCGCTTTTATTGGAGATTTGAAATCTCCAAGGCGAAGTGCTGGACAAAAAGGAAGCATAGTTAGAGCATTTTTCAATAAAATAGAAGGGCTAAACATGAGAAGCAAGAAACTTACCAAAAAGCCACTGATTTTTTCAAACGTGCCACGCGGCTTATGTTACTAGCGATTGGCACGTGGGGGGCATTGTTTGGGCTAAATATGAAACATTGTTCAAATAGATCACAAGACTAGTTAAGCTGAGTAATTGAAACGTCATGCCCAATATAAACAAAAGAGGCCAACCCCGAAACTTAATAAGGTCTATAACAAATAAACATGCCGAAATCTCATCAGATTCAAATATTAGACTGTTAGCATGAAGACACGATCCTAAATAATGCTGAAATCTATGTCCAAGTAGTTCGGTGAAGCGGGTTGTTCATCAAATTGGAGAGACCGTGCTATAAGTTTTGTAGGATTCCTGATTCTTCGATAGAACGTGCTAAGTCTCAAAGAAAAGGCTTTTGCTATCAGACACTATAAATAGAAAGAAGAAAAACAGGGACATCCAACCAACACTCGATCAAGACTCGCATATTTTACATTCATTAACCCTTTTTCAATTCTTAGTTTTAGTCTGTAATTTTTACATTTCAATCAAATTACACACTTATTCTGTCAAAGCCTTTTATCTTTTTACATCTGAGTAAATTGTGATAAAGGAACTCAGGACCCTTTTCGTTATCTATTGAGACTCAACGTCTCTGACACACCTGGTATTTGTTGTTCAACCACGAACATCGTGTAAGAGCTTATTTGAAAGTTCCAACAATCTAAAGCATTTGTGTTAATAGTAAATCATGTGTATTAAACTGATGACTTAACGATGTTCGTGCTTGCCAATGATATTGTCTGATCCGTGTCTTATAAATAGACGTGTATGCACGAGCCCAATGCAAAACCTCCAAGTTTTCAAGTAGCTCTCTCTTCATGATCTGCTTCTTGAGTTTCATCCTTCCCCCTTTATTATTTATATTATTTTGTACCATGTTTGTTTTTTAGAATGGTTTATTTAATAATGGAGAGCCACTACGTTCTACGAGCATGATAGAATAGCTCTCAAGGTTAATGTCGTTGATTACAACTCATCCTGAATTCTACATCTATAATGCTAACATGATATGCATTTTATCTATGACAATATAAATATGGTGATTTTTTTTAAAGTTATCCTCCTAACAAAAGATTGATTTAAATGCAGTTGATCATTTACCTACATCTTACATTACATTTACCATCTAGGTCAATTTAAGCAACTCACATAAACTTTGCTTTGAATCATCTCATAGAAAAGAGTAAATCTTATATTTTATCTCTACTCATATTTCTTAAAATAATTGAAAATTCTTCTTAAAAGATTATACACTAATGCTAACATATGAATATATAAAAATATATTTTCATTTTTTTCCCAAAAATACACCAGTACATATATTTCCAAATTAAAATATATGAATTATCTTATATATGTATTAGTGAGTTATATTAAAGTATTGATAGACTTGATAATCTTGATCAAGGAATGATTTTTCTACATCAGATAATATCAGGTTCAATTGGTAGTTCTTTCAAAAATATTTTTTTTACATTTTCCTATACTTAAAATCTCATATTTAAGATGACCATAACTCGGTGCCTTGTGAGTTGCTTTGATTGTTCTGTCACATAAGATGTGAAGAGCATACTAAATGGTGGGCTTCTAATTCTAAAGCCCAATTTAAAAGTGACAGGTCTAAATTGTCACAAATGCATTTGAAAAAACAAATGTCAAATAAAAACAAAAGAAAAAAAAAATCAATCGTCATTGTTTCCATTTTTAAATTGGGCTTAGTTCTCAGTTCTCAATTCTCAGAGCTTGAGTTGACTTGCCTGCTTAATTTATAATGAATTGGGTCTTACCATCACAAAATATTGAGGCAATCATATGGTGATGATGGTGTGGTCGCAACAATCTAGCCTTTGCCTCGCTCACATTATTATGATTCTCAATCTCTCATTTTTATCAATTATCATCATGATTATCATCATCATCAATCAATCAGTTTTAGAATATTTTATATCTTGAAATTGAATAATATAGTGAACTGTGCATTAATGGTGCTATTCTCATTTTGTCATTTTAAGTTTTTTATACACGAAGCTGTCACTTATTTTCCTTCCTCATGGTGGTTCCACCATATCAATCATTGATCAAATACTCCCTCTGTTTTTATTTCTAGGAGAAAAAAATTATATTATATAGTTTAACAAAATTGATTAACTATATTAATTATAAAAAAGAATTTAGACTATAATATTTTTTATTAATCATGTTAATTAAGTCTTCATTAATTATTTCTTTTGATTGTGAATGATAAAATTATGAAAGATAATTTAAAAAAATTTGTAACAAATGTTTATTAAAAATGTGATTTTGTTTATATAAAAAATAAATTAAAAGTAATAATTTTATTTTATAAATAAAAATGGAAGGAGTATATCATTAGTAATAAGAGCATTTCACTAATAAAGAATTTTTTTTCTAATAATATGAAACGTTGATCGATATTTTGAATAGAAGGATCGAGGATGCAAGATCCATTTCATTTTGGCGCACGTTGATGAAACTTTAAAAGCTTGAAATAAAGCACCGGGCGAAAGAAAACAGGACTCGCGCAAACAGAACCTAACGTACAAACCGTATTCATTTTTTGTTTTATCTTCCTTTTCCTTTACATTTTCCTTTTCCTTTTTTTTTTTAAATATCAGAATTATTAGATTCATGGAATTTACGTTTGATGTTCCTTCATACCGCAATTTCCCAGCGGAGAAAATAACGCTGGAGTTAGATCTCAGAAACGCCTCTTCCCATCACAGGAAGTTCTGAATCCTATTGGAAACTGCAGCATCGCTTTTAGCATTTCGGATGTCATCTCCTAAGCCGTCGTTCCATAGCCTAGCTTCCAGTCAAGGTACTCCTCTCTTCCGTGCATTCCCACCTTGTTATTAATTTTTTTTTTTAAATTGGTTTTTCGCTTCTCTTGTTTGATCCAGTCTTTGAGAAAACTCAATACGACGGTCGGAAATTCCCGCTCTTTTCCTGGATTCTCGTTCTCAAGAATTTCAAATCAGCAGGCACTGTTCTGTTTGGTCGAGTGGAAAATGCTCAAATACCATAGGGAATTGAAAATATTGGCCGCCTATGCATCTGAAATATTGGCCGCTCTTTTCTTTTCTTTTCTTTTTTTTTTTAAAATATTCACTTTGTGTGGAATCGTGAATTTCGCAATGTATTTCCCCTGGTTGTCAACTAGCGGGGGTGTTCTTGATTTTGATTATTATGTCAGTGGTAATAAATCTCAGTTATTTTTCATGGTGCAGCCTAAGAGGAGTATAACAATGGTGACAGGGACTCAGCTGAGGTGATTGTCTCAGTAACGGTGGGGGGAAACAACGGGGTGGATCGGATTCGGATGGACAAGAGCAAGGGCCGTACCGATCTACTCGCTGCGGGAAGAAAAAAGGTCTATCCACTGCTTATTTACTTTCAAGTATTTTCAATTATCCTCTAAGAACATGAAAATTTTCATTCAAAAGAACCAGTATATATTTAAATTTAACTATGGCTTATTTACAATCATATGGATATCTGTTTAAATGACACTCTAACTCTATTTCCCGTGTAATATTTTTCTGCATTTCATCTAACCAATTTGACTAACATATCTGCTCTGCTGAATATTATATTAGAGCTTAACTCAAGCTTGATAGAAGCATTCGATTTATTGATAGGAGAAACGCAACTATCATTCTTTAACTTCGGGTCATTTGCCAACTCTCTTTCTTAACCCTTGAAAATGGCGCAACATGCCCCTTGAACTATGACGCTTGAGGACATAGATCCTTTTGGTTCAGTATCCTGTTAAATATGGAACTTGCGCTCTTTCAATTGTCAATTGTCAAGTAGTATGCCACCCCCCAACTATTCTATGAGCTGAGCTCTGACTTCTAACCCTCAAAAGTTCCATTTGGCTTTCGAATCATTGGAAAATGCAGGATTGGAAGGTTCTGTCACAATTGAACTGATCTGTGTCGCAAAATTTGATAGGAGTTCATTTCATGATTGTCAAAATGTGTTCAGGGTTCCTATTGGGGAGGTTAGGGATCCAGGCCCTAGGGCTAGGCATCTCATTGCCATGCAGCCCTTATTTTCATGATTTAACCACTCATATTTAGTTGCCGGCTAATGGGGGCCTGCCACTTGACAAATGAAAGGTTCTTAAGTGGGATCTATAGTTGAATTGGACAAAAGAACTTTATTCTGAAGGGTGATGCTAATTTAGAAATCTTGTTTTTCATTACAATGTATTTTCTGTACTTTTGAACCTTTAAATCAAAATTGAAGGATGCTAATTAATTTATACTTTCAAAAATTATCAAATTCAATTGAATTGCTATAATATTATTACAGTGGAGCGTCCATTTAGTGGAGAGAAGTCATTGGCCTAACTTGAAGGGACATTTTTCAATTCTAGAAGTTAGCCCAAAGTTGAAAATTGGGGCTTGTTATCAATCAATCTGCTTGTTTTAAAAAAATCAGCCTGTAAACTGCGCAAAATTTGAAAAAAAAAAAATTTTATATCAAATTGATAGGTTCAGTTTTTTTTTTTTTGGGGGGTAAAAGATACTTCCAATAGTATTGATTAAATGGTTACAGAAGCTTTAAAACCTCGTCAATGATCATTTTAATTAATAGCTTGAACTTTTATTCCGTGAATGTCATAGGCTCATAGCATTCGAGTTTTGTATGGATTACCAAATTATTACTCTTGAAAAAAAATAATAATGATAATGATGATGATGAACTTCATTCAGCTGTTCGTGCTTAAACATTATTTTCATGGGATATGAAAGTATAAGTATATATTTTCTCCTCTTTCCCATGATTCCTTGACTGCAGATGTAAAGAATAGAGGTGAACATTCGCTGTCCTATAATTTGAATTTTTATTGTTATTTTTTCCTTCAGTTTCAGCAATTTCGTCAGAAGAAGGACAGTAAAGGGGGAAGTGGTCACGGAAAATCTTCAAAAAAATCTGTTAAAGCTGGGAAACATGAGCCTGACGCTGAAGAAGCTCCTGGTGGCCCTATGTCAACAACATCATCTCAGGTTACCGATGGTAACGTTGAAAGTAATGCAGATTCCAATTTCTGTATCAAAGAGGTTTCAGAATCAGAGTCTTTGGCGGAGTCGTTCACTCTTGACTTCAGTGCTCCATCTGTTAATTCATCATCAGCAACTGATAATGACACAGGTGTTCAATTGCAACTGGCTACTACTACTGAGTTAGCACTCCAGGCTCAGGTAGTGGATGAACATGATTCTGCGATGTTAGTCCAAAATGAAGAGGAAAGCATCAAGGATGTTGGTATTGACATGTTGGAAGACGTGCCTCTGGGAACTTTTCATGGTCCTGTTTCTGAAGATGGAACAACGCTTGACCATATGCCAAGTCCTGTTGACACGTTGCCTGTACCTGCTCCAGTAACCACTGCAGCGGGAAAGTCTTCTAGAGTTGAAAGAGAGTGCAGAGATGCAGAGGAATCCTTACTTTTATCAGAGGATATTCCTAATACATCCGAGTCAGTTAAAAATGGAGGTGAAAGTACTCAAGATGTTGGCACTGAAATGGTGAAAGGTGTAACAATGGATGATCATATGCCCACAACTGTTGACATCATGTCGGTACCTGCTCCAGTAACCTCTACAGCGGACAAGGCTTTTAGTGTTGAAATTGAGGGTGAAGATAAGCAGGAGTCTTTGCATGTATATGAGATATTCCTAGTACATCGTTGACGAATGTAATGGAAGATCAGGTAACAGATGTAGGTTGTGCTCCTCTCTTTTTTACCTCATTAATTTTAGGCTTTAACTTTGTTTTGATATGGGGGAATTAACTGGGAAGGATGGGTATACGGATGTATAATTTGATGTATAATTATATTCCCATTTGTTGCTGGGTAGGGGCAATGCAGGAAGCTGATGGTCTGGATAAGAAGCAATCTAGTCAAAGCAGTGATATGGAGATTGATAGCCAAAAGAATCTCACTTTGTCTGAGGTTGGTGAGAATGCACAGTCTGTTTCAAGATTTGCTTTGGACGACAATAGAATAGAGGAGGCATCTCATGAAGCAGCCCAAATTGGCGAGGCAGTTGAAGTATCTTCATCTCTCGAGGATGTCACATCCAATAAGCGTTCAGCTTCTGCTAAAGGGAAGGACAATAAAATTGCAATTGCTGGACATGTCATGAGAAATCTGGAAGGGGAGGCACCGCCAGTTTCACCTCTTAGACTAGTGCCTTTTCAGTCCAGTGATGATCAGAGTAGGAAAGAAGTGGTTCTTAGTGGAGAGGAGAGGAGTCTTCTGGAGGGCCTTGACCTGCAAAATTCTCGTGTTGGACTGCGAATGCTTCTTCCTTCCAGTGATGTGAGTAAGAAAGTAGTTTCTAGTGAAGAGGAAAGGGGACTAGATGAGAGGCTTGACCAGCAATATTCTCCTGATCAGTCTGTATACGTGGATAAAAGCCACAGATTGCCAATGGGAGATCAAGGAACAAATTTGACCAGACCATCGATTGTCTCTCCAATATGTGATGTGAGCTCAATCAATTTCTTGCAGCTGACAGAACTTATAAGGGGACTTAGTGAAGAAGAATATAACTTTCTGCTTAACTCAAGTAGGACAGTCTCTAATGCAGATCCTATATTCAGTAGTTTAATTCTACCTGATCATAGTTTTTTGAAGAATTCAAGAAACTCAAAGAAGAGTTATTTCTTGCAGTTTTTATGAAAGATTTATTCAATTTGCAATTGACTGAACAGTTGGAGCAACAACTGGAGTCTGACAACCAGTGTTATCAGTTGACTAATGAACTATCTGAGTTTCGTGCTTCATGTAGTGAAGTTCGTAAGGAGAATCAACTTCTTGCTGAAGAACTTTCAAATTGTCGTGTTGAACTGCATGATATTGCCAACAAGAATGTAGACTTGCAGAGCAAATATGTTTCTGCTGAGGTAGAGATTGAAGTGCTATCTGCTAGAGTACTTGAGTTGCAGAATTGTTATGAATTGTCTCAAAAAGATTCACTTGATTTGTCTAGAGAGCTGGCTGACTGTAGAGGCTTGATCATAGCTTTACGTGCAGAAAACAAGGACATGAATGAATCAGTTGCATTAATGATTGAAGAGAAAAAGAAACTTGTGGAAGAAAAGGAGTTTCATCTATGTGAAAGTCAGAAGCTGTCAACAGAATTAGCACTTTCTACCAGCAAGAATGATGGACTGCAAAACAATATGTTTCTGCCAAGGGTAAGATTGAAGAACTTCAGGCTAGAGTACTTGAGTTGCAGAATAGTTATGAAATGTCTCAAAACGATGCTCTGGGTTTTTCTACAGAGCTGGCTGACTGCAAAGGTTTGGTCTCAGCTTTACAGGCAGAAAATAAGGAAATGAATGAATTGGTTGCGTCAATGCTTGAAGAGAAAAAGAAACTTGCAGTGGAAAATGATTATCATCTTTGTGAAAGTAAGAAACTGTCGACAGAATTAGCTTATATTGAGAGTTCAGTGGAAGGACTAAAAGCTGATAATTTAAACCTAAATGGGGCATTGTCCTTGGTGACTGAAGAGAAGAATAAGATTGAAGCCAAACTTCAGCATCTCTCCCGTGAAATTGATAGGCTATTGATGGAGTTGGTTGAAAGTAAAGATTTGGTGGCAAGTCTGCAGGTAGAAAATTCCAATTTGCACGGGAGCCTTGCATTGTCAGTTGCTCAGATTAAAATGCTTGAAGAGTATGAACAAGCTGCTATTCTTGAGAATCTAAGCGTTTCATCTCAAATTGTTGTTCTTCAAGAGCAATTATCTATAGAGACTGGGAAACAAATGAAGTGCCAATTTGAACTTAAAGAGGCCAGACTGCAACTTGAACAAGTCACCAAGGAGAACTTCTTTCTGAAAAGCACTTTGGATGTGCATAAGGCTAACACAGAAGAAATTGGCAACAAATACAGCCAATTGCTATCTGAATTTGAGGAGCTCCATAGTCAAACACAGATAGCAAGGCAAAGAAGTGAGAACCATCAAACGAAATTTACAAATGATTCCTTGCCTTTCCATCTGGAGCGAGATGGAAAAGGGGATCCTGGGCAGCCACCATTGAATCCACTTGAACATGAAGAATTTTATAACTCTCTTGGTTTTGTTGCTTTGAATATGCGTCTGGATGAGATGGAGAATATTTTGGAGAAACTTGAAAAGGCAATTGATCAATTGCATTCTCATTCAGTATCCCTTGGCAAGTCTCCTGGTAAACTTTCCTCAGCTGGGGTTTCAAAATTGATCAAGGCGTTTGAATCAAAATCACAAAATAATGAGCTTGAGGTAGAGGAAAATGTTTCCAATGAATGTCAGATACCACCTGATCCATTTATGTCCACCAAAGGGAAAATTGGAGACTTGAGAGCATCACTTACGATGTGGAGGTTGGATGTTCAGAATGCTGGTGCATTGTTTAAGGAGGAGCAAGATGGTAGGAAGAGTGGTGAAGTCAGGTGCAGAGAACTCCAAGATCTCCTCGAAACATTGAATCAGCGCTGCTTGAATTTGGAAGCATCCAACATCGAACTTACTGTTCAATATGAAGTTTCCACGCAACTTTTGGTAGACATACAAGAAGGTAAATGCCATCTTGAAAAACTCTTTGAAGCTTTAAAGCAAGAAGATGTCCTTCTCAAAGCCAAAAACGTTGAACTCTGTGGAAAGCTTGGAAATTGCGAGTCAAAAATTGGAGATTTGATCACTGAAATAAATGATTTGCAAAAAAGTTCAAATGAGATGGCTTCTTTTATTGGTATTCACCTTGAAAATTTGCAAAAGGAGGTGACAGATAGGGCAATGTTTCTTGAGCGAGGTTGGAATACTACTATTGCTGAGATTGTTGAAGCAATTAGGAAACTGGATGAATCAGTTGGGGAAGCTTTCTCAATAAACACATCAGTCGGCTCCCTTGATGGTTTGGATATCAATCATCATCTTGTAGTTTCTGTTAATGCAGCCACTGAATTGATTGTTGATCTTAAGAAGAAGCTTGAAGCTACTTATACAGAACATGATATGGTGCGTACCTCTTTCAGAGAAGTGAGTGCCAAATGTGATGATCTGCTTGAGAAGAATAATTCAGCAGTTGGTATATTGCATAAGATTTACAGTGACTTGGGGGAACTTGTTCTCAACCATGTTGGGCCGTTAGATGAAAGGATGGTTGATATACCAAGTGATGCATTGCCTGATCCACTGAACTATGCCAGCTATGAGGCCATGATGCGATCTCTTAAGGGTATGCTGATGGAAAAGCTTGAACTTGAGTCTGTTTGTAAGGTGATGAAGTCAGAATTAAGTCACAGGGAAAAAGAATTGGAGGAATTGAGCGTTAAGTGTGTTGGTTTAGGTGTTGTCGGTACATTAATTGAAGATGTTGAAGGTGTGCTGGATGTAGAAGATACTGATGCCAAAATAAATAGGCAACCCCTCCTTCACCTCACATCTTTGGTGTCTGGTCTTGTTCACAAAATTCAAGAGGCTGACAGGCAGGCACGCATAACTAAGGAAGACTATGAATCTAAGATGCTGGAACTGACTGAATTACAAGCAAAGATCCATTTTTTTTATGCTTTACATCTTGAGCATGAAAATGAAATCCTTATTCTCAAAGAAAGCTTACGTGATGCGGAGAAAGCTCTTATTGCTACTTGTTCTCAATTATATGAGAGAACAATGGAACTTGATGAGTCAGAACGGCGGGTGTCTTCTATTCGGGAGAAGCTTAGCATTGCTGTTGCCAAGGGGAAAGGGCTGGTTGTACAGCGAGATGGCCTCAAACAGTCCCTGGCTGAGACTTCCAGTGAATTGGAGAGATGCTCACAGGAGTTACAGTTGAAAGATGTTAGAATCCACGAGGTTGAAACAAAACTTAAGACCTATGCGGAGGCTGGTGAGCGTGCAGAGGCTCTGGAATCGGAACTGTCATATATTCGTCATTCAGCTAATGCCTTGAGAGAGTCATTTCTCCTTAAAGACTCAGTTCTTCAGAGAATAGAAGAGGTTTTGGAAGATTTAGATCTGCAAGAGCAATTTCATTCTCTAGATATAATTGAAAAGATTGATTGGTTGGCTAGGTCAGCTGCTGATAACACATTGCCCTTAAATGATTGGGATCAAAGAAGCACTGCAGGAGGAGGTTCATATTCGGATACTGGTTTTGTTGTCACGGATGCCTGGAAAGATGGTCAGCTGCAATCTGATGTTGTGGATGATTTAAGAAAAAAATTTGAGGACTTAAAGAGTAAGTATTTTGAGTTAGCTGAACAAAATGAAATGCTGGAGCAGTCGTTGATGGAAAGAAACGGATTAATTCAGAGATGGGAAGAACTTGTGGACATGATAGATATGCCTGCGCATTTGCAATCTATGGAGACAGACAGTAGGATTGAGTGGTTAGGAAGAGCTCTTGTTGAGGCTAATCATCATATAGATTCACTTCAGATGAAGATTGAAAAATATGACAGCTATTGTGGGTTGCTAAATGCTGATCTGGAAGAGTCTCAACGGAGAGTATCTGCTCTTCAAGCAGACCTTAGGGCTGTTACCTCCGAGAAAGGGCATCTTTCAGAAAAAGCGGAGACTTTGATGTATGAATGCAAGAAACTATCAATGCATTCAAAGCAAGCTGAACTTGATAATGAAAAGTTAAATCATGAAATAACTAGCTTGGAGGAGAGATTGGAGCAGAAAAGTGCTGTTGAGGAACAAATTCTCATCATTGAGGGAAAGATCAGCAAATTGCAAGATTTAATCAGTGATGTTTTGCAGGAATCCGAAAAGGAAAACCTGATTTCTAGTAATCCAAATATTGATTCCTTGGAAGTATTACTGAAAATGCTTGTAGAAAATTATGCAGCTCTTTTGTCAGCAAAACCTACTTATGGGGATGCACTTGATGGGCATGACACACAAAATGATGATGGAACTCTTCATGAAGAAAGGAACATAGATATGCATAGCAAGGAAGACCCGGTTATAGTCAGTTTGAGAGTAGATCTTGAGGAGGCCTTACGTGAATTGATGCATGTGAAGGAGGAGAGAGAGAGAAATTTGGAGTGTCAAATATCTTTGTCTGGTGAAGTTGAAGCCCTGAGTAAGAAAACTGAGGAGTTGCGGGAGCTTTTAAATCAGGAGGAGCAGAGGTCAGCTTCTATTAGAGAGAAGTTAAATGTTGCAGTCAGGAAAGGGAAGTCATTGATACAACAACGAGATAGTCTAAAAGAAACAATTGAAGAGATGAATAGTGAGATGGTGCGCTGGAAATCTGAGATTAGCAATCAGGAAAAAACTCTTGCAGAGTATGCACAGAAGTTCAAGGACTTGTCAACTTACCCAGATAGGTTAGAAGCTCTAGAATCTGAGAGCTTGCTTCTAAAGAATCATTTGGCAGATACTGAACATCATCTGCAAGAACGAGAATACATGCTGAAAATGATTTTGAACAAGTTAAGTGAGATTGAGGTTAGTGGTGACAGCGACGCAAGTGATCCTGTCAAGAAGTTGGAATGGGTTGGGCAGTTATGCTCTGATCTGCATGCTTCTGTGGCTTCTTTACAACATGAGTCTAGGAAATCTAAAAGAGCAGCAGAGCTTCTCCTGGCTGAATTGAACGAGGTTCAAGAGAGGAATGATGCTTTCCAAGAGGAGCTTGCAAATGTGGCTGTTGAACTTGCGGATACCAGAAAGGAGAGGGATTCAGCTGAGGCTGCTAAAGTGGAAGTTCTTTCACTTCTTGAAAAGTTATCAGCTCTGCACATAGAGGAAAGAAACAATTATTTTTCCGAGTTCTTGGCATTAATATCTAGGATGAACCAACTCCACACAAGCTTTGGTGAAATTGGCGAGTTATTGGCTAATATGCTTTTCATGGACTCAGAGTCTTCTCAAAAAATGGAGGCTGCTCTCAAGTCCTGCATGAGTGACGACAATGCTGCAAATGTGGTTGATTCACCTGTCAACAGAGCTAGCGATGGCAATTTACCCATGTCAATTGACAATAAGGTATTAGTATTGTATGAATGCTCATTAATTTTTATTCTATGTTAAATGTCTTCCATGTGGTATATTACAATTTACAAGAATGAGAAATCGAACATGCCATGCATAGGGGGTGGGGATGCTTGACTTGACGTTGCCTATGTCTGCTATTGCATCCTGAGGTATTTAAACATGCTACTTCTAAGTATATGAACCTTTTGAGCTGGAACAAACTGTGCACTGCAGGCATTTTGTTTTGTAACTATTAGCTTAGGATGAAATTTTGATGAGTACTCTCTATGGTCCAAAATATAAATCATCCTTTCTTCAATAAATAAATAAATAAAAACAAAAAAGAGGTTGCTTATTTGATTTGTTTCCTCTGTGGTGTCTGGTTTGTGACATTTTATCTCTTTTCTTCAATAGATTAATTGCTTCTACCTATATTGATCGGGCATATAATCAATTCTCTCTTTTCGTTTACCTGTGATCCTTCTCCAGAAGAGAGCTATATCTGTGGATTCTTGGTTGAATTTTGACAAAGTTGATCGTGTTGATGATACTACCATAATTGAAATATGTCATCTTCTTGGGCATCGGCTGCATGACTTCTTAGTGGATGTCACTTCTCTTAAGGAAAGCTTAAACAGGCACTTAAGTTTAACACAGGAGCGAGAAAAAGCTCTTTCTAATCTAATGGTGACTATTCAAAGGGAAATGACTTCCCAAAGAGAGTCATGCGAAGCCTTGAAGAACAAAATTAGTAGAAAAGACAGGGAACTTGCCGCCTTATGTGAGAACACTGGCTACCTTTATGAAGCATGTACCAATTCAGTTATTGTAATTGAACGTGGAAAAGATGAACTTGTTGGAAACAAGGTAGCATCTTCAGGTTTAGGAGCTAATTTGAAAGGACCATCATTCATTGATGGTGGAGAACCTTTCAGCAGCCAGGTTCAGTTGATGTCTGAAAAATATATTAAGACTGTAGCAGATAGATTGGTATTGGCTGCAAAAGAATTTGCTACTGTAAAATCAGACTTTCTAGATGCAAACCAAAAGGAGATGAAGGCTGCCATAACAAATTTGCAGAGAGAGCTCCAAGAGAAGGATGTTCAAAGGGAGAGGATCTGTTTGGAGCTTGTAAATCAGATTAAGGATGCTGAATCTGCCACAAAGAGTTGCACTCAAGAACTTCAAGATTCTAGGATTCGAGAGAATATTTTGGAAAAACAAGTGGAAAAGGTTGAGGCTGAAAGGAAGATTTTAGAGCAGAAAATGAACAAGATGCAAGAGACGCAGTTGGCTGCAGCTGAGTTAGAGGAGAAAATCGGATCTCTGACTGATTTGGTTTCTGCCAAAGACCAAGGTCTGCTATTTACTTGCTTTTTTCTTTTCCCCTTTAATAAGTAAGCTTTTAAAATTTAATTGCATGATAGACTTTTAATGTTTCTATTACTGTTTATTGCAGAAATAGAGGCACTAATGCACGCGCTTGATGAGGAAGAGATGCAAATGCAAGAGTTGATGAAAAAGAGTGAGGAACTTGAAAATCTATGTGAGCAGAAGAATCTGGAGATTGAGAAGCTTGAAGCCTCACGTGGTAAACTTATGAAAAAGCATTCCGTCACCATAAGCAAGTTTGACGAGCTTCACCATCTTTCCGCAAGTCTCCTTGCTGAGGTTGAGAAGTTGCAGTCCCAATTACAAGAACGAGATGCTGAGATCTCTTTCTTAAGGCAAGAGGTCACAAGATGCACCAACGACATTCTTCTTGCATCACAAATGAACAAGAGAAGTTCAGATGAGATTCTTGAGTTCTTGATGTGGATTGACATGATGGTATCTCGAGAGGGGATGCTTGATTTGCATCCTGATGTGAAAAGTGACAGTCTTGTTGGTGAATATAAAGAAATGCTTCATAAGAAGCTCATTTCTATATTATCAGAATTGGAGGGTTTGAGAGCGGATGCAGAAAGCAAGGGTGCATTGCTAGAGGAAAAAAGGAGAAAGGTGGATGAGTTGACACGTAAAGCAGAAGCTCTTGAGATGTCTTTGCATGAAAAAGAATCACAATTGAATTTGCTTGAAGATGTGGAAGAGTCTGGAAGGGGACCTAGCACAAGCTCAGCCGCAGGAATTTTGGAGGTTGAACCAGTGGTAAGTCAATCATTTTTTGTTGTTCTTTTAGTTTTGCATTGAAAAGGAATTTGGAGATCAATAATTAGCATTCCCATAGGTAATCTGTGGTAACTGTCTCCTCTGCACTTGTGTGGATAGTTTTAAAGGAATATTGACACCGGTGATGTTTCATCCTAGACTTGTTCGTCAAACTTAACATGATAACTAGTTTGTATAGTCAAACCTTTAAACTACCAATTTTTTAACTGCTTTAGATTCAGAATCCAGATCACATGGTGACCATAATCAAATATGATTGGAAAAAATTGGATTTTATGCTTGAGGTATCCTTAACTGTTTGATAATAAGTTTTCAGGTAGAGTTTTAGATTCCTTTTGGCGTTTCCTTCTCTTATGCGCCGTTTCATAATTGATTAAATATGATATGGTTAATTATTCCTGTTTGAGGGGGAAAATATCGCTTACGCATGTGAATGGCAATGAAAAGATTTTGTAGTTTTCCTCATTGACATTGATGCAATTATGAATATGACTCATTTGGTTGGGGGTTTTTGTTTGATTTGACATTAAGGGATTAAGTTTATTGGCTTCTATGCGCAGATTGACAAGTGGGCAGCAGCAGTGACTTCTGTGACACCTCAGGTTCGTAGTTTGCGCAAAGGCAATAACGATCATTTTGCCATTGCTGTAGATGGAGACCCTGGCAGTACTGGTAGGATAGATGATGAAGATGACGACAAAGGTAATTCTACACCAAATACCGTTAGGTGATTCGTCAACTTAAATGTCCTTTATATTGGTTTTTTTTTTTTTTTTACTTAATTCTCTTTCTGGTTTCCTTTCTTTCTACAGTCCATGGTTTCAAGTCACTTACTTCTTCAAGAATTGTTCCAAGATTTACAAGGCCTTTGAGTGACATGATTGATGGCTTGTGGTGGGCACGCCCATCCCTTTCTGCTTTATTTTGATCAAGATTCTTTAAATTTGATGAATTGCATGATGCGATCTGGATTCCCATATTCTTGCAGGGTTTCGTGTGATCGAACTTTGATGAGACAGCCGACCTTGCGACTGGGAATTATAATTTACTGGGCCATAGTGCACTTATTACTTGCTTTTTCTGTAGTTTGAGAAGCTCTGATTTGGAAGCTTGAGTCAGACTTGGCTAATGGCCTACTTCATACAATCTAAAGCCAGAAACGAGAGGAGGTACGAGGTTCTAAACCATAAATTGGGGGCCGTTAGCTATGCTTAAACTAGCAAAAGGAAAAGGTTTAGTCGTAGAGTATCTCCCTTCCCTTTTGTTCTTCATCTTATGACTTACATATGATTGTTGATGAAATGAAAGTAGATACAGTAGTGGTCAATAGAAAAGATTACAGTGAAGAACAGTAACAAATCAGTGCGTTCTAAGGCTGAAGAGAGAAAATTAGAAAAATGAAGAGCATTCTTCACAAACCCCAGTGGGTTGTCAAGGACCTGTTGTATTTAGGCTTTCGAAAGACAAGAGAAAACAATACTTGGGGCCAGCCGGCCAGGGTCCCTTTACCATTTAATATTCTTCAGACATCTTGTAGGAGGACTAGATAGGTATGGGAGGTAATTCTTTTTGTACTCCGACATCTTTTTCTCCATTCATCTGGATAGCGATAAGAAATTTCAGAGTTCACCATTCTTTTTGTATTGAATGACCATAACTTGGCGGTGAAAATTTCGCATGTTATTCAAGAATCACATGACTTTTATTGGCCATGATACATGACATACCTCTAGTGTTCGAAGTAGTGGTTCAGCGTCTGACTTCATTTATTGGAGAGAGTTCATATTTTGGGGTGTTTCGGTGAGTTAACCGCAGAGATGTTTCAGGTTGCAAAGTTACCTCTAGTCTTGAATTGTTGCTTTTGGTATTTTATCGGTTGCAAAGGATTTAACTTGTGCTTGAAAAAAAAAACGTAAAAAAATGATTAGGACTTTCGGCTAAGCCCCTTCCAATTCCAATATGTCGAGCTGTGACGTACACGCGCAATTGTAACAGTATGTCGAGCTGTGACAGACCCAGAAGCCAATATGTTTGGGTTGATGGGGTTTCCATGAAATTAGATAACGGAAAAAAGTCAACAAATATTTATTCACGCACACTCATATCTTTTAGTAGTTTGAATTTTTTAGAAATTTCTAATATTTAATATTAATATTTTTATTATTATAAAATGTGATTGGAGAACAAATTAAGATATACATTTTTTAAAATTTAAAAAAATGCACATAAAAGCAAATTTTTTAGCTAATCATGCCCTCTTTGCGGACAGGAATTCATCTGTTTAAGAGTGTCTCACATAGTAACGTAGTAATTCTTTCAAGTTTCGTGAAAAAATAAAAAATAATCAGCAACTTTTTTAAAAAAGTATTTTCAATTTACAATTAACTTTTCTTAAATTTATAAATAACTTTTCATTAGTTTGGGCTGGAGAAATAATGTCACTCGATCATTATTAGATTAACTACAATCGTTTTTGTCCATGAGAATCCCACCAGAATGCCTTTTACTCCCAGTGGGTCATGAATCAGATCAATCTTTTTTCTGCTGCTTTTGAGACGACACCTTCTCGTAAGCTCAGCAGATTTGAAAACTTTTGACTGCATTTTAAAGAATGCGAGGAAATTATTTCTGCATGTTGGTGAGACTATGTTTTAGGATTTCCAAGTTTTAAGGTTCACAACAAACTGTCCAGGTTGCTATCAAGTCTCTCTCTTTGGAGTAAATCTAAGGTTGGGAACCTAAAGCATAAGATTAATTTGCTTGAGAGTGAGATGCAGAAGCTTACTGTTGTAATAGATTCTATATTGAACATGATTTGGAGTTTACCTATGATTGTCAATATAGTTATCAGGAACGAAAAGCCAAGGTGAAATGGAAAACGCCGGGGGGGGGGGGGGGAATACAAAAATTTTTCATCTTAAGGTAAGGTTAACACTAGAAAATCGGTTGAGATGGTTTGGGCATGTACAGAGAAGACCAAGGGAGGCACCAGTGAGAAGAGTGGAACATATAACTTTGAGTCCGATTAAGTGAGGTGGAGGAAGGCCTAAGAGAACACTCTTGGAAGTTGTTGAACGCGATCTCTTAATTAATAATATTCCTAAAAACTTGATAAATGATAGAACACAATGGCGTCTTGCAATCCATGTAACCGACCCCACCTAGTGGGATAAAGGCTTGTTGTTGTTGTTGTTGTTTGTTGTTGTTAACACTTGTAAGGCCAAGCATTTCATCATATGCCTTAAACTTGATTTTGGAATTTGGATTGATGATCAATCAGAGCTTCTATCTGTTACTTGGGAGCACTTCAACATCTATTCATGCTCCAGTGAGTACAGTTTGGAGCAACTTACAACTGAACTTAATGCTTTTTATATGCCACAGGTGAATGAGTCTGATCAAATGATCCTCATGGCTCTTGTCTTGAGAGATGAAGTTAAGGCAGTTGTTTTTAGCTCGCCAAAGGATAGCTCGCCTGGATCGGATGGGTTCCATGCTAATTTTTTTCACAAATTGTGGAACATTGTTGAGGAAGATGTATTCAATATGGTCTCTCACATTTGGACCTCTGAGAATATTCTCAATTCTTTCAATCATACTTTCATCACTCTGATCGCAAAGAGTAAATCCACAAGAATTTTAGATATACAAGACCGATTAGTATTTGTAATGATTCCTACAAAATGATCTCAAAGGTCTTGAGTAGCTTGCTTAGGGTGATTCTTCAAGACTGGTCTCACCTTTTCAAAGTGCTTACTTGCCAAAAAGACTCATGATTGACAACATATTAGTGGCAGCAAATCTGGCTCATCAAATCCATTCTATAAAGGGAAAAGGGAAAAACTTGATACATTAAACTTGATTTCCCCAAAGGTCTTGATAGATTGTCTTAGAATTTTTTAAATGTTGTCCTTCACAAAATTAAATGGGTTAATTTGGTTCTTCAATGTATCTCTATGGTGAAACATGAGATTATTTTTAATGAAGCCTTTCTCATTCAATTTCTCCCTCCAATGGCATTCATCAAGGAGATCCATTATTTCCCTATCTTAACGTTATTGTTGCTAATGTCTTGTGTTGTCTTTCGCAAGGAGCAATAGAGGGCTTTCAAGGGAATCAAACTTTGTTAGAACTTTTGTTTGGTCTCTCATCTCTTATATGTAGATGATTCCATTATTTTCTTTAAGTACATGAGGGATGGTATTGAAACCATTAAGGGGATTATTCAGAATTTTTGCAAACAGTCTGGTCTTATGGTGAATGTTCAAAAATTTCATTGCTCCTAAGTCTTAATTGCCCTACTGAGCTTCAACATGAACTTGCTTAACGACTGGGTATTCAAATTTCAACCCTTTGTCTCCTTTGATAGCTATTTAGGGACCTGGATTGATGCTAAAAAAAATTAAATCTTTTAGTTATGCTAGGTTATGGAATCCATTGAGAAAAGGATTACCTCTTAGAAGGTTAAACTTCTATCACAGGCGTCCAGACTAACTGTCATCAAATATGTGCTCTCTGCTTTTAATATCTGCACTATGTTATGTGTAAAGCTACCACAATATCTTTGCATTACAATTGATGCGGCTAAGCTAACTAATTTCTTTTGGGGATTCAATGATAGTAAAAGGAACATTCCTCGACTCAAAAGAAATATTATTTTCTCTCCTATAAAAGATGGTGGACTTGGTTTGAGGGACATTGAGAATATGAATGTCACCTTGCTGGCTAAAAAAATTTGGAGAGTTCTTAATGCTGAAGAACATTCATTTTTGGGTAACATGATCAAAATTAAGTATTTTCATTACACTGATAGGCTTTTACATAAAATACCTCACAATGTCTCTTGGTTTTGGAAAGCTATTTTCAAAGCCTCTGATTTAATCAAAAAGCTTCTTACTTGGCAGGTAGGATGGAGATTCTATTTTTCTAACCCATGAAACTTGTTGGAAGCTTTCCAATAGAGATCTTGCTCAAAGTTTAAACATCTCCAAAGTTTTTGATCTTATCATTTGTAAACCGTCTCCTTGGATGGCTGCTAAATGGAATGCTCCTCTCATCACTAAACTCTGTCGTAAGGAGGATGCTAATTCAATTTTAAGGATGCCTATTTTTTTATTGGTTGGTTGATTGGCTGATTTGATATTCTGGTTCCTACACAGTCAAGGATGGTTATTCAAAAATTGCTTTTGCATATCAAGATAAACCCTTAACCAAGGAAGGAATTTGGGATTTTCTTTGGAAACTTCAATTGCCTTACAAAACTCTCCTATTCATTGAAAGATTATTTATGATCTCAACTTTAATCTTCAGTGTGTCTTTGGTTGTGAAATACAAGAAACTTTGCATTATACCTTTTGTGATTGTCATTACACAAGAGCCATCTTGTTTGGCTCTTTGTTATATGCTCCTCGAATATTTATGTCCAAGGTCTTATCTTTTGGCTGTTGCAACTTCAAAAACTTTATACTGGAACCAAGAGACTCAAGCTTTAGAACACATTTGTCTACTTCTGCGTCTAATCTATTAAAAAAGAAATCATGCTCTACATACAAGAAATATAATTCCAATCAAATAGGTCATTAGAGATTTCAATGAGCAATACTTCTTTCTCAAAGGTGCATGCCGATGGGATAACCACCAACTCCAAGGGAAAAATACTGGTCTTGGAGCTTCTGAAGGAATTTCTAACTCTTATTCTCGAAATCAAGCTTATATTCTCAAATGGGAGATCCACGTGCATGTTTTTAAGAAAGGGAAAAAAATCTTACTATATTGTTTATTTATCTCTCAACAATGAAGGTTTGGATTAATTTGCTTCTCAACAAATCTGATGCTATTTCTCCACATCTTTTCTTGGTTTTCTGTGTTCATAGCATATTGTTCTGGATCATGAATTTTTCTTTGAACTAGTTTGGAAGATATACAAGCTTTGGGAATTTGAAAATTAGATACAATAAGGGAGTTTGCTTCTGTTCTAGTCGACAGCATCTTGTAGACCATGATACTACAAAGCTTTTGGACAAATTCAACAACTATACTATTAAAAAATGTGGTCCACATGACTCATTTTATCTTGCTATTTTTTCTTCTTTTGATGCTTGTCTTATCTCTAACTTTCTAAACTTCATTTTAATGTTAGTATACTTGCCTTTTTCCCAAAAAAAAAGAACCAAATCAAAATCACTCTCAACGAAAGTCATAAGAAGTGATTATATTTGTTCACTTTTCTCGCAATGGAGATGAAATTGAAGGCTTTGCTTTTTTAAAAATTAGAGGTCTTTCTTTGTCAAAAAATTAGAAGTGTCTTAATAGCTAGCAAATAAAAACTATGAACCTCAATAGTTCTAGACCTTTAATGATTATTATTAAATATCTTCGTATTATGGGTAAGTATCATTTTCCCATTTAGTATGATTCACTATCCTCAAGTGGCAAACGAAGTGATGAGTATAGGCCGCTAACGGATGCTTATCGTGAAGGGAATCAATCAACACACGTGTAGTCCGCTCATCATATAACGTTGAGGTCGTTGCAAAATACGCAGATAAAACGTGGGAGCATCGAACGGCAACATGGTGTGCCTGTGATTGCTGATTATATATATCCATTAACAGCTTAACTGGAGGGAACCGCACACTCAAACCAGACCAGCAAAACCCCCATTAAGTAGTGCTACCAAGCAACATACTATATATATGTGAGGATCGAGGATGGACAACTAGAACTGATACAATAACGAGTTCAATGAAACAGACATACTAAGTTGTTTTTTGTATGTAAAGAGCCTACAGAAGGCTAATCTGAATGAATCTCCGGATCCTAAAAGGAGTCATGTCAACCCCTTTTGCTTCCCCTTCCACCGCAAGATCCGCCAGTATCCTCCCAATCACCGGAGCCATCTTGAACCCGTGACCCGAGAACCCGCCCCCCACCACCACATCCTTCTCGAACCTTCCCCCCAAGAAGTCAATCACAAAATCCTCCGTCGGCGTCATCGAGTACATGCACGCCTGTTTCACCACAGCTTCGCTCGAATCAACCATTCCCGAGAATGTCTTCTCCACCCATTCCTTCAACTCTTCCATCCTCGCTCCGGGGCCCCACGGCCTCTTGTCCGGGTCACACGGGTTCCCGCCATGCACCGCCACCTTGATCAACCCCGGATACTCCAGCGTCGGAGTCCCGTATATGTACGTCTTCCCGTAGCTCGCGAACGTCGGAAAGTCGCCGCCGATAGCGTATTTCGCCTCGTGCCCCTCCTTGATTCTCCAGTAACACACGTGGGTCTCCAAGGGTTGTATAGGCAGTTCGATCCCGCTAACCGCTTTAACCAATTTCTTCATCCAAGCCCCGACCGTCACCACGCATTTCTTGCCCCAAAAACTGTCGCCGCGAGCCGTAAAAACCGTGACTCCGCCGTTCGCGTTGTCTCTTTTAATATCGATGACCTCGGTGTTGTCAGTCAGCACAGCGCCGTGTTTGGAGGCCAGTGCTTGATACATGGCCGTTGCTTTCGTCGGCTTTATGATGCCACCTAGAGCGTTGGACACGCCGATCCAATCGTCCGGGATGGAGATGAGACCGGAGTATTTCTCCGCTACTTGGTGACGACGGAGGACTTGGTGCGGGACTGAGTGTTTCCGGCAGTTGGCGATGACGGCATGGATGTCTGGGTCGTCGGCGCGGCCCATGTCGAAATGATGGGCCTCGAAGTAGACCTTGTAGCCGATTTGGGCCTCGGCTTCTCGCCAGAGCTTGTAGGACTCCATCACCATTGGGTAGTAGTAGTCCTGAGGGTAGGTGGCACGAATGGTGCGTGTCTCCCCGTGAGAGGACCCTCGGTGGTGCAAGAAGTCGTACTGCTCCAGCAAAAGAGTCTTTAGGCCTCTTTTCGCCGTTTGGTATGCGGCGGAGCTGCCCATTACGCCGGCTCCGACTATGATCACATCGAAGCGCTCGCCAGAAACGCCCATTTTCTGTGATTTCACTCTCTGTTTTCTCTGCCTCTGTGAATGTGATACGTCTCTCTCTCTCTAGAACAATTCTGAATGTGGTGGTGCGTACCTGCTTTTATAGAGGGAATTTTTCACTGTCTCTATTTTTACAGTGGAATCTGTCAAATGCAAGATATCCCCAGAGGGCCGTTTTTTTTCCCCTTTTGGATTACTTTATTATTGGGAGTTTTCGACTTTTTATCCTTCGGCTCGGTGTCGTGGTGTACTGCTGTTGACCAATTGGGAATGGGATGCCAATCCCCTAACCGGTTTAGTCAATATTTTTTTGAAGAGTCGTCCGAGTTGGATGTTATATTTTTTCAACTCATTTTTTATTTTTGAGTTTGAAACGTGTTATTTTGAGTTTTTTAAAAATAACAACTCATCAAATTTGTGTTTTAATAACTCTATTTTGTTAAATTATGTAAGTTATTTATACATGAATGTTCTATTTACTTATGAATTAATGCTCTTTTATTTAAATATAATTTTCTTAGTATTATGTGTAAATATTTTTGTATGTTTTAATTTTGATTGGGTTAATCGGATCGTTGACCGTTGAGTTATTATTTTGACTAATTTAACGTTTGATATTATTTTCTTACGTTGATCGGTATTGATGTGGACATTATGGACCATATCTTACCTGAATTTCTAAGGTACAGCTAAGCATGATTGTAGCAAAACCTTTTATTGTAAATGTAGGATCATTAACTATTTAATTATTTGTTTAGATAGAGTTCACACGCAAACAAATGTCTTCCACAAGAAATCAAACGAAAATAAGGAATTATACACTCTCTCAATTTAAAAATATAAAATATTTTTAATCAAATCTCATATTTTAATAAAATGATTATTTATCTTTAAGCTAACCATATTTTTTATATTTATTTTTATTTAATAAAGTATTTTATTTTAAAATAAATATAAACAAATTTATTTAATAAAGACACTTAAAAAAAATAATAGTTATACTTTAAAAAATTAAAAAATATATTTAATTATATTTTTTAATAAAGAGAATATACCTTTTGCATTTGTACTGTTTTTTCAATGTTATAGACAACTGAGGATATGAAGAAGTATTCTGTAAGGTTATCATAAAATTTAACAATAAGCTTTAAAACGAAAAGAAAAAAATCATAAAAAAAATTCACGCAAAAGAAAATCAAGTGGAATATTTGGTGGAGATCAGAGAAATGAGGAATGGCGTGATGACGACAGATCAATGTTAAGATCAGATTCTATGCATTTGTTTATTAACATTGATTCCATGAGATTCCCTGAAAAAAAAAAAAGTTCCATCCCTCTCACGGGAATCCATCAATGAATGACCAAAAGTACAAAGATGATTATTATATATATATATATAATTATTACATGATTTGACATTACAGGACGAGTTGTAGTACATGAAGATTCACCTGATTATGATACCCACACAAACACCACACAGGGGGATAACTTCCATGGTGGATCCACGTGGGAAAGTTATAAATTTATTCAGAATCAGAAGCCAGCTGGCCATGCATAGATTACAGCACAGGTCTACGTGTGGCAGATGCTCCATCAAGCTCAAAACATTGAAATACAGACAATCCAGTCCAATTTATCCTCTTTACGGCGGAATTTTTGTCTTCCCATGTATAGGAGTATTTATGTATATTAACTTGTCTTCAGTAATCACGTACTTCTCACATCTTAAATTATAAAATATTTATAAATAAAATTTTACATATAATAAACTTCACTAAATATATTTAACAATATCATTTTTTTAAAATATAAAATATAAAATTTTTAAAATACTCATTATTTAATATATTAAAAAGAGAAGTGATAGAAATTTATTATAAAGAGAGAAAGAGTAATATTAAAATTAATATATTTAATGAAATCTTAATCTACTCAAAGTGTCTTATATTTTAAGATAAATAAGTTTCTTTAAAAGTGCCTTATGATTTGAGACGGAGGGAGTACTTTTTATTTTTGGGTAAACGTAATTACTTACTATTTTATTGGAAAGATTGGGTTAATAATTTGATGGTTTCAATATAGGCATTTTTAAAGTGTTGGATGTTAAAAAAATATAAAGTATTCTTGATATTTCAACTTTTAAAGCATAATAATGTGTTCTTTCCAAAAAATTTCTCAATAAATAACTTAATTTATACTTATTTTGAATAAAATAATGAGGGTAAATATAGAGAGACGGTATTAGTTTGAAAGCCATAGTTAACTAATTTAACAGGGGTAAGATTGGATCAAAAATACTTTATATTTTTTAATAAAAGGGAGTATAACATTAATTGATACTTTCTAAAATCATCCGTATATACAGCCCTTTAGGATTTTTCTTTTTAAAAATCATACTTTAAATTTGGTGTAAGCTTGAGAAGTTACTGATGTTGACAAGATAGCTAAAAATGTCATAAATTAAAGAAGGAGCTGGGAAAGGAAATCGATAAAGCGAGATGAGTGTGAGCGAGAGTGCGAGAGAGGTTGAGCGTTGAAGGAAAGGAGGACGGCAATACAGGGTACGAAGCTATAGATCATGATGTAATGGTGTTCAAGGGTGCAACTGAGAAACACAGTGTGTCCAATAAAGCGGGAGTGAGTGGGGATGAAATCAAGTACTAGAGGAAATCCATGACTTATTGAGACTCTCTATTAAGTCTCAACTCCTCAAGATTTCTTTCTCCCAATGACGAGAAGGATGAGATTGCACGAGGTTAGAAGGGGTACTTTGATAAGCTGTACAATGAAGGAAAAAAGGAGGCAGTGAGTTTGATGAAGAATCTCGTGATCATGAAACTGGCTATAAGCGATGCCCGAAACTGCGAGTTTCAGAAGAAGACTATAAACGATGGTGCCAACCTTAGATGAATTCATTAATTGTGAAACTGTTAGGAAAGAATATTTAAATGAAGTTTTTAAGACTATGACCGGAGAGGATGTGGAAACTACAGGACCTAATGAGAATAACTCCTTTTAACATACTTTATCATTTCATTTTCAAGACAGGAAGATCTAGAACATACTTATCTGGAGGGCCCGTGGATGATAGATAATCATTATCTCCTGGTGCAAAATGGAGACCTAACTTCAACCCTTGGATGGCAGAAACTCAATGTAGAATTGCGGCATGGATCCGTATTTCATATTTACCTGTTGAATTATATGATGTGGAATCTCTTTGGCAGATTAGAAACATGGTGGGAAGAACTCTGAAAATTGACAAATCAACATCTCTCTCTGATAAGGGTGGTTTTACTCGGATATGCATTGAAACTGATGTAAGCAGCCTCTCCTTTCATCCTTTACTAATTTTGGCAAAGAGTACATGTTTCAATACGAGGGACTACATCTGGTATGCTTTCACTGTGGAAATATGTGCAGCACAAAGAACTATGTCCTAAGTTCAGTGAGGTTAATCGGTGTGAAGATTCGCTAGGAAAGGAGAATGAAACAGCACAAATAAATGATCAAAGCGAGTATCGAAAGAAGCAGGATGAACAAGACAAAGCCACTATAAGCACCAACGATGAGTTTTCAATGACCAGAAGATGTTTCAAACCTGAAAATTTGGTGAAATGGCAGATGAAAGGGCATGATTCTGGGGTGGAATTAAGGGGCTTTGATGAATGAGTAACGAAGAATAAGGATATGGATAAAAGGGGGTGGTTTGACAAAAGGACAAAGGCACGGTTAAGGGGATATAAACACATGATTAGGAAAGAATACTCCTATGAAGATGCAGTCAATGGATAAGTATCAATACTTTGAGAGAGAAGTCAATCAAGAGGCTAAATCAGAGTGGGTTCTAGTAGGAAGAAAAATGAAATTTCCTGCAAAATACAAACCACGTGGCAAGGACAATGTGGGACCAGCTAGAGCTAAATATGAGGATAAAGGAAAGAAGACTTATGGGATTGACGGGCCAAAGATAAATACATTTAACCCATTTATAACACTAAATAGTGCTGAGAAAGAGGCAAACAAAGAGGATCAAGAAGAGAAAATGGGCCAATTGTTAGAAGATGAATTAGGCCAAGATGATGAGCTGTATGAGGATTGAGAAGGAAACTCAAATGTTGGGCCAAGGAAGCAGTTTAAACAATGAATTTGACCAGTCTAATGACATAGACATCCATATGGGATGTAGCACAGGGGCCTTACACCCCAATAATAGCTGTACTTAGTGATTGATGAATTCCATCATTTGAAATTTTCAAGGAACATGTTATAAATTGTTCCCAAATATTATTCAAGAGTTAAGAAAGGTTTTTGCCATTGATTTAGTAGTTATCTTCGAGACCAGGAATAATAGGCAAAAAGCAAGTCAATTGGCTACAAAATTGGGATTTAATGAGCATGTTATTATTGACACTAAAGGTTTTAAAGGAGGCATTTGATGTTTATAGAATAACATGAATATGATAGTGACTGTGGTTGAAAGCAATTTTCAATTCATCCACTTAAAAATTGAAACTCTTTGAAAAGAAACACGGTGGCTAACCATAGTGTATGCGAGTCCAAATATTAACATTCGAAGAAGCTTATGGAAGGATCTCTCTCAACTAGGTGATAATATCCAAGGACCTTGGTGTGTTATGGGAGATTTCAATGCAATGCTCTTTCATCATGAATAGAAATCTTTAGCCCAAAAAGGTGCTAAGATAGACAAGGACTTTAGAAGCTAGGTAGAATCATCACACATGAATGATATTGGCTTTTAAGGTATAAAATTTACGTGGCATAGGGGGAATTGTGAGAGTTGAATTAACAGGGTACTATCAAACACTAACTAGATGGAGTTATTTTGCAATGCTAATGTTAAACATCTTTATTGGTATATTTAGATCATAGACCCCTACTTCTTCGTGTAAATGACTCGCTGACCGAGAAGCATATAAATATGCCGTTTCGATTTATTACAGCTTGGGCTCTTCACAAAAAGTTTGACCAATTAGTTCGTGATTCATGAGGTAACAATCAAACTTGGACTGAACAAAATCAAAACCTTTACTGCTGCTTGCTCAAAGTAGA